CAGAATATGTCTCCAATTCTCTCCGGTACTCAGTCGCCAGCTCGTCAACGCAGCAACTCGTCGTCATCCTCCGCTGAGATTTCCTCCTCAGTTCGAGTCTCCGCTCTGGTTCGGGATCAACCCTTCCCACTGTGGGCTGATCTCTACAGTGTTGTATTTGGCACTCGAGGCGAATTCTACGCTATTGGACGCATCAAGGCCAGCTGTAACCTACAGGTTAGTTTTTTTTTCTTGGATTCAATTCGCTTGCTTTATTTTATCATATTGTATTATATCAAATGGCAGGCATTCTGATAGTTATAATTAGCCCTTTAGTTGACTTCAGGCTTCACGAAGGAGGAGAGGGAACATCAAAGTGAAAAAAAGCCAAGAGAGGGTGGAGGGAGGGGGGAAACCGAAGAGTGTTTCAAAGATATAAAAGAGACGGACATAAAGGTAGAAAAAAGATGAGATGAGTACCGTGAAAGTGCTCGAACATGCATTACAGTGGGGTGATGGTAGGTTGAAGTGAGAAGTCAACTACCAGTTAATAGACTTTTTTGCCGTATGAGTATACGTTGCCCAGGGTGCACCACTTGGAGGTAAGTCCATCGCACACCCCTTTGCCATATTATTGTGGTTGTGTTTTTTTATCCCGTTTGCTGCATGAAATTCACACATGTGCAAGCCTAATTTTGTTCAACCTCGTAGTCTTTATGGACAGCAAGCATTTGAAGTGTTTTTCTCAAAACGGTGAAGTGTAAGGTGCAAACAATCTTAGAGCTATTCGGCGTCATAGTTTATTTTAATTTTGTGCGAGAGTCAGCAGATTTTTGTCTTCACATTTTCCGTGCACTATTAAAAACGTGTACACTTATCCGCTTCCAATGATGGCTTATAAAAAATATATAACTCTCCTGAACTAAAATGGAACCTAGAATGGGAAGCATTTTATCAACATTTTTACTACATATCGGTGTAAAAGTTAGAAGGATGGTTTTGATAAAATTATAAACGCAAACACTATCATTCGTAGTTGGGAGTTCAGTTTAACAATACTCTGGCATTTGACCTCAGTTGAGAACTGAGAAATTGGTGTAAATTTGCCTATTCACTTCTGCTATTCAATTATTTCACACACGTAGGTAATGGTTAAACCTATTTCGTCTTTAGTTGCTCTTCCGATCACCACAAACCGCCACTCTTGATGTCGACGAAAGCTGCCAAGCCTTCCGCTGCATCGAGCTATCACTCACCACATGCCACCGACGTCGAGCACCCCATAGCCAACTCCTGCCAAATGCCTTAGCAGGTCCCTCTGCAGCCATTCCAATTTCACCTCCTACCAACTCTTCAACACCTAGTGCCTTTCATGCAGTCAGTCGGATGGTAAAACACTCCCCTGTTCCTTCATGCGGTGCTTTTTCTGAGGATATGCGTTTGCTTGTTGTGGGATTCGAGAATGGAACTGTTCATGTGCTGCAGTTGAATTGTTCCAATGACCCTTTAAGTGGTTTCAGGTCCTATCGGCATCTTTCCATCTCCTCGAAATGTAGCACTTCCGAGCCAGGATGTGGTGAAGGAAGATCCACTGTTGCTAGTCGTGACCTCCCACTTGATATTGTCTCCTCTGCTGTCAAGGTTACTCATTTGTCTATTTGGACACCTCCCCAGGACTTTGAAGATCCTGAGCTTGAACTTGTGGTTGGTGTAGCTACTGCGGGTGGTACTATTCATGTTAGTTTCCTGTCTAAACCTTAAAAATTTTGTATCTCAAATGTTTCGTAGGATTGCGTGATCGTTATTGTTGGTGCATTTACACAACATCATATTTGCAGTCTTATTTAAAATTAGCCATAGTTAATTTTTAAGCAGTAATCATTACGCGTAGATAACTATATTTTAATATATCCTTAAAGCTTAATCATTTAGACTGGTAAATCATGGTTGTATCTACAAATCATCACCAGAAGTGATATCGATGCAGTTCCTTAAAAACGTGCCCTTATAAGATGATGTTAGTTTAGATGGAGACATTGATATGTATTTATTTATATCAAATGGCAGGCGTTTTGATAATTATCATTAGCCCCTTAGTTGACTTTGGGCTTCATAGAGGAGAGGAACATCAAATGAAAAAAAAGGTCGAGAGGGGGAATAGAAGAGTGATTCACATATGTAAGAGACAGGCAGACACAAAGACAGGGAAAAGGTAAGGTGAGTACTGGGGAGTGGTCGAATATGACATACAGTGGGGCTATAGTAATTTTATGTGAGAAGTCAGCTACGGTTTTATAGACCTTTTTGCTGTATGAGTATACGGTACCGGGATGCACCACGTTGCACACCCACATTGATATGCAACTTAATTTATTTCGCATAATAACTTAACGTTTAGTTATATTCGAGTTTTCATACCCAAGGTCTGGGAAATAAGGCGCTCCAGACCCATTAGTGCTCGCTGCGACTCTTCATTCGACACCAGTCAGGTACCTGAGATGAAGACTCCTCCGACACATCAGTGGTTACGAATGCACTTGCCAGGTCCCGCACAATCAACTAATACATCCGACCCTCCGCAAACCTCTACTTTCTCTCCCCTCTTCCCCTATGAGACAGAAGTGACCCCTCCGTCCGTTGTAGATCAATCTGTGATAGTCTGGTTTCGGCTCTTTGCTAATCTGGAACCATTGCATCAATCGAAATCGTCGAATGGAGCTTCAGTTACCTGGAGGGGTCGAATCGCATGGCTGTCAGCTGGACGAGATGGCTTTGTTTGTGGCAGAAGCCTCCAGAGTTCTGATGGAGACGATTCATCTTGGAATTTGAATCTCGTGGCTCATAAATCAGCTGAAATTACTGGGGTGGATGTAGACCCAGAAGGCCGGTGGTTAGCCACTGCAGCTTCTGACGGAGCTGTCTGTGTAGGTCTTGGATTACCGCCTGATTTTATTTGAAACATAATCCTTTATTCACAGAGTGCTCATTCATACACCGTTTTAGGTATGGTGTTTATCAACGGAGAAGAAGGTATTTGAGAGTTCACACAAGCCATTGGCTGTTCGTTGTGTGGCCTTCCGTCCGATTGCTACAGCCAATGAGATGGGAACCGAGATGCTGCTAGCTTCTGGGGACGCTGGTGGAAACCTTCGCGTCTGGCGACTCACGGCTCCCAGGTAAATCCTACCCCACTTTAAGAATTCTAAATTAAGTATTGTTTCAATAACAACACACTATAACGATTTCTCTATATTTTTTTCAGTCTTTGCTTACGACCTATTTTTATGGGGATGTTATATTATATCGAAATCACGCGAACTTAGTTTCAGTTACGAAAAAAACAAACAAATCATCTAGTTTGTTGCCCTAGGACATTACTTGGCAAATTGTTTCCTTTTTTTCAATTTTCTCTTGTAAATCTAGATTTTAAATATAGAAAGGGAATGCTTTTCTTTAACTTTTGCTGTTTTCCGAATTTCTCAGATGGTGTGAAGACATGTTAGATGTTATTTTATTTCATGCAAATGTTACCTCCTGTTAAGCTTGTTAGTTAGAGTATTTGAGCTATGTGGGTGGTAATTTTTCGCTAAGTTACATCGTACGTTCAAATCTTCTTTTGAAAATGATTTCTAAGCTATTCTTAGTTTCGGTTTTTTTCTCAATATTCAGCAAAATCGTAGCGTTTTGACTAAATTTCACGCCTTTATTCAATTTTAATACTTAGACCTGATGATTTTACTTCGTCAGTTTGTAGTGCCATATCCTTTTGTCCATATTCCCATTCAAGACGTTTTAAACCCGATTTCTAGCATTTGCCGAATAGTTATGAGGTACTTATAACAGGCACTGCCGTCATTGCAAACTGGAGCATCTTGAAAATTGCTATTCACCTCCACGTTATCAAATTATTCGTACTTTGTAAATTTGATTAGAGCAAATATGGCTGTTTTATTCTTCTCTATCTTCGATATATTTCGCTTTCCTTCTTTCACCGTTTATTGAATTTATCCCTTCTACTCTCTTTGAAGGCGATGTGCTCATATCCCAGACAGAGGAGTATGGGGGCGGGG